CTGCTAACCACAAGATGGCTGCTGTGCCGCATCAACTGATGGTCAACTCTGCTTGCCAGAATCGCCTTCCTGAAACTGTATTCCATGGAGACTCACCTACAGTTGCGGAACTGCACGAGACCCACACTTGATCCAACCTTGAATGGAATCTATTTTCCCTATTGTTAAAAACTTTGGACTCGTGACCCCTCTCCCTCTACTCGCAGGTATCGCATTTTCAATGACCCCTCTGGAGGATAGCTGTCTATAGCAGAGATAGAGTAATTGGGAGAGGGGGAAAGGGCTGAGGGTCAAACATAGGATAAAAAACATATTTATATGTATGAAAGTAGAAATGGAACAGTATTGGTGACGACATGCTTGATTAAGACACTATGTAGTTTATCCTAGATGGGAAACTACACTTGGTGTGTTGTGATGATACTCAGGGAATGAGTGTTAGGCAATATAATTTAATATAAAAAAAGTAATAAGCAGGAGGAAAAAAAAATGCACATTTGATGACTGAAGAGAGTTGTATGGACACAACTGGGGTCTACTTTATAATATGTTCATTCTACTCCCTGGGGTTTATGCCTAGGATCAGATTTGGATACATGTGTAAGGATATGTCAGCTGTGCTAGCTAGTGGATATACTTAGACTAATTGAGTTCATTGGTAGAACAATTGAATGGGGGGGGGCGGAAGCCATTGAGGGCAATCATGAATGTCAGGGACAATGGAGGAGGAAGATGGGACATGGCAGAGGGTGGGGATGGGGAACCTAGGATGGCAAAACAAAAGGCAAGGTATGCAGGACACAAAAATTGGGAAATCATTTGCTGAGAACATATATGTTGATGTGCTTGATTGAGCCAATGCACAGTGTATTTTGGATGGAAAATTCATATGTGTGTTGTGATGAGAAAAAATTTATAATAAAAAACAAAGTATAAAAAAAAAAAAGGAGAGAGAAGAGGATAAAGACAGCAGTGAACAATAGAGAGGCAGGATGTTAATGAGAAATAGATATGGTTTATTACCTGTTGATGATGACATGTATAGTATTCTCAACTGAACCAGTCTGGGAAATATTTCATGATGGGTGAAGTCTCTTTAATAAGCAAAATGAGAAATAGTGATTGACTGTTTAAAAAATATAATAATAATTATTGGGAAAAGCATGGAAAAGATATTGAATGATAAAGCGGGGAGATTGATATCTCTGTATTGACTGACATGCATGGCATTCCCTTTTGAAAAAGCAATGGAAGTCAATGTAAAGTTATATGTAATCTAGTGTAATAGAAAGAAGATTATGATGATAATAAAATAAAATAAAAAAAAAGAAGTTTACTACTCATGCCATTCTTAAAATAATAACCTTCTATTAATTTCCTATTTTGGTTAATCTCTTACTTTTGTTAATCTGCAGAATATGAATATACTAAATTTCATAGGTCACCAAAATAACCAAAAAGGTCATTTCAGAACCATGAAAACTAGGCTTCCGTAAATTCTCATGAAGTAGCACACTTAGTCAAATGATGACCTGAACTCTATACTGGAGCCTTTGACTCCCACCTTCATTCCTCTTGGCCTTGATCTTAAAGACAAAGGAACTTTATGAGTTGAGACCTGCAGAGCAAGATTTTTTTAACCTGAAACAGAGAAAGTGAGAACTCAACCTCTAGGGGGATGGCCATGCTACAATCCCTTCTTCTCCATTCTCCTCTTGTGATCTTTATGTTAATGAAACAGAATGTGAGTACAAATGGAAACAGTATTTGTCATCTTATGAGTGCATTCTCTCCTAGAGAGACTGTAGCCAATTAAATAAAAATCTTATCTTATTTGCTAAATGCTTGGATAGTTTTAAAAACACAGACTTTTAAAGTTGTGAGAGTAAAATGATTCTTCATAATAATGAACTTTGGAATTTCCAAGATAAAATGCATACTGAAAGTAAAGTAAGAGATGATCCAGTGAAATATGAGTATTGGTTCTATGGAAGTGAGCAGATAGGGAGACTGAAGGACTTTTGGACTATGTTACTTTAACTTGTTTGTGGTATAATGTGCTATGTGACCTTGTAATCTAAATTGCCAATCTTTAGGAAAAGTTCAGCCATATTTTATATTTTTTTTTAATTTATGTTTACTTTAGAATTGGGAAAGTAAATATATTTTACATTAGGTCAATGACAGGGAAGTGATAAAGACAGAGACTTGCAAGATCAAAGAAATGAAAGAAAACATAATTGACTTTTAAATATAATCATTCCACTCGATACTGTTCCTACCTATGAAAAGTTATAGGGAGGATTTTCAATGTCCACAGCCAAAGATTTAGAGTTGGGAGGACTTCCACTTCATCTAAGACATACAGAGTTGGAAAGAATTTTACCTCTACCCTAATAAAAGGAAAAAGCCAGAGTCTACAAAACCATCTCTGTTTTTGAAGTTGTCAGAGCTGAAGTGACAGAGCTAACAAGTAGCCTGAAAATACAAGGAAGACAGTTGCTTTCCAGGAGAGGTTGCACTAGAGCATCTCCTCTGTGGCTGAGTATGAGGGAAACACGAAGCTGAGCACCACCTGAGCACGTAAAAGGAGGTCACCAACCTTTGCTGAGAAGTTGCTAATGGCGGGATGTGGGATAGAGGGTGTATACAGAACCCCATGGGAAACCACAACAAATGGATTTCACACACAAGCACAGATTCTTCTCCATGGCCTCCATTGGATATTCACAAGAATGACGGAGGAGGGCAGCTGGAGATAGGAAATCCCTCCAGGAATGTTTAGACTGGAAGGTGGAGCAATTGCTAATTTAATTTCTTAAACAGAACAAAACAAAAAGATCACAAAGTCTACTAGTTTCTTCTCCTTCAGTAAAAATGCCTTAAGATACTAAGGAACTGCAATAAACTTTTTTCTCTTTCCTCTAGAACTCAAAGACCTATTGTGACTGAAGGAAAGGAAAAAAAAAAATCACCTACCCCTGGAGATGATGCAGGAAACTATCCTGAGCAGAACCGCAGAAACTACCGAAGAAAAGAACGTAAAGGGGATCATCTCTAAGCACTGATCCTCAATAAAAGCCCAAAGTCCAGGGTAGAAGAGGGACAGGAAGAAAAATTCCTCAGTCAGCAATAATGGGATACTTATTTTTTTCCAGGTATACTTGGCCCTCCATATTTATGGTTCTGCATCCACAGATTCAATCAAACATAATTAAAAATACATGGAAAGAAACAGTAAGTACAAGAATAAAGACAATATAATTCAAATATAGTATATGAGCCAGCAGGTGGTATGGTGGTTAAGGTGCTAGACTCCCACATGGCTGACATGGTTAGACCCAGAGGCTTGAAAATCACACCAAGCACATGAGCATGTGTGCCCAAAATCCCAGGAGAAGAACGGAGGCGAAGGGATTGCAGCATGGCCAGGCCCCTAAGGGGGGGGGGGGGTGATTTCTCATTTTTCCTCTTATGTCTATGTCTAGCAAGCACCCATACCTTATGGAAAAAACCTGAAAAAAATACAGTTTAACATTTATATAGACCATACATTATATTAAGTATTATATGTAATTTAGACATAACTTAAAGTATGTGGGAGGATGTGCTTAGATTATATGCAAATACTATACTATTTCATGTCAGGGACTTGAGCGTCCATGGATTTGGTATTTGTAGTTTTCTTAAATCAGTCCCTCACTGGGTACTGAGGAATAACTGTACACATGAACTTCACCATGACAGCACAAATCCTGGACCATCAAACAAATGTAGACAAGTTTAAAATAATTAAAATAAAACAAAGCATAGACTTTATTATGAAGGAAATAAAAACTAGAAATTATGAATATATATGTATATATATATAAAATCTTCAAACATTTAAAAATTAACATACTTATGTATAATCATTGAATCAAAGACCCCTCAAAAATGGTCATTCCAATTAAAAGATGCGTAAATGAACTGAACACACAACTCTCTAAGGAAAACATGAATAGCCAAAACGCATATGAAAAAAATGCTTAGCAACCCTTATCATAAGGGAGATGAAAATCAAAACCACAATGAGATATCACCTACCACCAGTCAAAATGGCTAAGATTAAAAAATAAATAAATAAAGAATAATGGCTGGCAAGGCTGTGGGGAAAAGGGAACTCTCCTACACTGTTAGTAGGAATGTAAATTAGTGCAGCCACTGTGGAGGACAATATAGAGGGTAGAGGTTCCTCAAAGATCTACAAATTGAACTACCATATGATCCAGCAATTCCACTTCGGGGTAGGAAAATTGTCAGAAAGGATAGGAAAACTGTCAGAAAAACACTTCCATATCCATGTTTATTGTGGCATTATTCACAATTGATTAGACAAGAAACTAACCCAAATGTCCATGAATAGATGAATGGATTGAAAAAGTCTGGTGCATATATACTACAGAATATTACTCAGTTATATAAAACAATGGGACCCTGAAATTTGGTAGAAAGTGGACAAATATAGAAAATTTACTGTTAAGCAAAGCAAGCCAAAATATGAAAGAGAGACATTGTATGTCCCCACTCAATATGTACCTAATGTCTGCCAGACTCTACAGCAGAAACAAAGATTGGAAGGTATAAAAGCATGAAGAATGATGGTTATAGTAGAGACAGTGTGGGAGGAGGGTGGGAAATGGGGAAGGGTAACAGGGAGGAAATCAAGGGGAAAAAGAAAAAAGCAAAACATTTAAGGGACACAAAAATGGAAAATTATCTGTTGATGATAAAGCATATGATAATATCTTTGACTAAGCCAATATACAGTGTATTTATGATGGGAAAATTTATTTGGTATGCTGTAATGATATGCAGTAGTTGAATGTAAAAAATAAATTCATTAAACCTCAAGAGACATTAGAAATATTTTCTAATTGAATAAAAATTAAAAATAAAATACATAGAAATTTGAAGGAAATGGCTAGAGAAGACTTTCCATATGACTCAGCATTCCCATTTGTTACACTATTTGTATAAAGTGATAATTTATGTTCTCATAGACAACTGTATGCAACTACTTGATGTAGTTGTATTCTTTTTTAAAAAATTATTTGCTTAATTTTATCTATTATTATTATCTTTTAAACTTGACCAGAGAGAGACACAGAGAGAAAAAGAATGAAAGTGAGAAAGCAAGCTGCATATCCAGGACTATAACCATGGTTGGTGGGGCCAGCAGGGGGCATGATGGTTAAGGGTACTGACTCCCACATGGCGACTGCGGTTCAAGTCCTGACAGCTTGCTTTCTCGCTTTCTCACTCCCTGTCCCTTTCTGTTCAAATTAAAATAAATAAGTAAAAAAACAAAGTTAGATAAAATAATTCTTTAAAAGAAAACAACTTAAAAAAAAGAACCACAGTTGGCCATGTGGGAGTCCAGTGCCTTACAAACATATTACTTGCTGGCCCCTGAAGTTGTATTCTTAACAGCCAAAAAGTACAAGCAGATTAAGTCTCTCAACTGGTAAATGACCATTCCTTACAGCATCATTTCATGGGTCCTCTTTATCCTAATAATAGATTTGCAGTGTCTTAGAAGGAGTTAGCAAAAAAGAGGTATAAAATTGACAATTTACTTGAAAAAAAGTTTAAAGAATTATTTTATTTATCATTATCATTTTTTTATTTGATAAAGGCATGTGCACTCATCAGAGAGACAGAAAGAGAAAGAGGAAAAGAGAAAGAGAAAGAGAAAAAGGAGAAAGAAGAGAAAGAGAAAGAGAAAGAGAAAAAGAGAACAAGAGGGAGAGTGAGAAAGAAAGTCACCAGTTCCTTCTCTTGAATCCAGGTAGGCCATGTGAACTTTAGTGCCTTAACCACCACACCAGCTGCTGGCCCCCATGATTCACAATTTTTTTAGTGTCAAGATTCATTTTAATTTAGACAAATTAATCATTTTAATGCGTTTTAGTGAAACAGTTATCATAATTTTCGTGCCAACCTGTAGTTAATAAACTACCTCTTGAAAAACTGATGTAAGTGGTAATGTCTGTCTTGACTGATATGCACCGTATTCACTCTAGAAAAAGCAATGTTATACACTGTAAAGATATATAGTAATTAAATGTAAATTTAAAAGTATATATATTAAAAAAGAAAAACTTAATTATGCCAGTTTTTGGATCAGTGATTTAAAATAGTAAACTTTGGTTTACGCAAGATTGGCTTTCAAATTCTCTGTAAACTGCTTCATAAGTTCTATAATTATATACCAATAATTGAAATTTATTTAAATACTAAATGTTATTTTCTTAAACAATAAAAACTTAGGGCTTGTTGTTATAATATTTTCAATAAATTGTTGCTAATTAGTCTACTTGGTGAGATTTTGTGGTTTGGGTTGTCTTAACATCAGAATGGTGACAATAGTCTAGCAGAGACCTATCCTAAAAGATTCCTTTCATTTGCCCTTTCGGTTTGATCCAGATTATATCTAGCCTTACCATGTTGACAAAATTGACCATTCCCCAAATCCGGTTCCTTAGTTTACTCTGAGGATGACTATTTCTGCGATACTGTAAATATAAACGTCATATTGACATTGATTAATAAGAAGAATTGAACAAAAGCTCAATTAAATGCTTCATTCACTATGAGAAATTACAAAGAAAAAAATTCACTAGTATGATAAAGAAGTCTAAAAGCCAAACCTAGGCAATATATGCAGAAATAAATTTTTGATATAAAATAACAAATTTATAAGACATGCTTTGGCTTATCAACACTTTTTTTCTTTCCAACGTCGTCCTCTTTTATGTTACATTATATTATATTACAAAATATTTTACATTCCTATTCTAAAATGTCATAAAACATTTTAAGTATAATTTCTCCCATTTATTACCTTTGCTTGAGATTTTATGGCAAAATTTAAAATTTGAGGCATACATGCACATTCATCCACTATGTGCAAGTGTACCCCATCACAGGGGTCAGAATTTGAACCACAGTCTGCCATGTGGATGAGACCCAGCTCCCTTAATTTCTGAGTGTTAAGGGGCCCAATGGAACATTTGACTTGGGCCCTAGCAGTTTACCAAACCTCTAACCAGGTTTTGTATTCAACACTTTGCTTGGCATTTCTACATCTGTAGAAAAATACAAGATCATGTTTCATATCTGTGCCTGGCATAGGTTTAGGAATGTTTTCCTCAGGTATAAAATTTTCCCTCTTCCTAGCTATAGACAGAGCATTTCTATCATCTTTTTTTTTTTTTTTTTGGAGAGGTTTTCGCTATAGGGCGCGTGTGCTCGCCAGACAGACAGAGAGAGACATAGAGACAGAAAGCGAGAAATCACCCCCCAGGGGGGATGGTCACGCTGCAGTCCCTTCTCCTCCATTCTCCTCTCGGGATCTTGGGCACGCATGCACACACACCCAGCGTGAGTTTTAAGCCACCGGGTCCGGGATGCGAACCGCGGTGGACTATGTGGGAGTCCAGCGACATAGCCATTACGCTAACTGCTGGTTCCCTATCATCCTTTGTAGTTTCAGTGAAACTTTTCAGGGACACTTCAATACCTTAGGGCCTGGGCATTGTACAGAGGATTCATTTCCAAATTTCAACTTTTGCTGAAAAGGAATTTTAATTCTTCAACTCCCTTAATCTATATTCTATGTATCATGGATTACTAACTTTCAAGTTTAACTTACTGTTCTGACAGGGATTGTATTCTTCATTTTCAGCAATTAAAGATTTTCAACTTCTTTTTTTAAAACTCAACTATACGTTGTTAACATGTTTTTATTTTTTAATATGTTATATGTTATTGAGCATTTTCTGATTTGGATTAGTTTACTATACTGCTAAAAGGCCCAATAGCCTTTATATACACTTGGAGAGGTTTTCGCTATAGGGCGCGTGTGCTCGCCAGACAGACAGAGAGAGACATAGAGACAGAAAGCGAGAAATCACCCCCCAGGGGGGATGGTCACGCTGCAGTCCCTTCTCCTCCATTCTCCTCTCGGGATCTTGGGCACGCATGCACACACACCCAGCGTGAGTTTTAAGCCACCGGGTCCGGGATGCGAACCGCGGTGGACTATGTGGGAGTCCAGCGACATAGCCATTACGCTAACTGCTGGTTCCCTATCATCCTTTGTAGTTTCAGTGAAACTTTTCAGGGACACTTCAATACCTTAGGGCCTGGGCATTGTACAGAGGATTCATTTCCAAATTTCAACTTTTGCTGAAAAGGAATTTTAATTCTTCAACTCCCTTAATCTATATTCTATGTATCATGGATTACTAACTTTCAAGTTTAACTTACTGTTCTGACAGGGATTGTATTCTTCATTTTCAGCAATTAAAGATTTTCAACTTCTTTTTTTAAAACTCAACTATACGTTGTTAACATGTTTTTATTTTTTAATATGTTATATGTTATTGAGCATTTTCTGATTTGGATTAGTTTACTATACTGCTAAAAGGCCCAATAGCCTTTATATACACTTATTTTATAAGGATTAGTGAGGGGCAAAATATTCATCTGAAAACTTACCACGTTATCATCAGCAACAATGAACAGTTCGACATACTTTTCTTTAGGGGTGCTCTGAAAATTTATTAAAAAATTCAGTGACGTGTGGTTAAAACCTGTCATCATAACATATTAAGTTAAAAAAATTCTGACATTAATTCAATGACTTTATCTGAATAAGTAATACTAAACATGTGACATTCTTTATCAATTTTTTTAAATTTGTGAAACAGTGCATGCACTCACTGGAGAGGGACAGAGAGAGAGAAGGAGAAAGGGAGGGAAAGTGAGAAAATATCCCCACATGGGGATGATCATGCTGTAATCCCTTCTCCATTTCTTCCTCCTGTTGGGATTTTGAGCATGCACACACATATTCCAAGTGTTTCTCAAGCCACAGGGTTCAGGACTCGAACCACACAGCCACATGGGATCTAGCTGCCTTAACTACCAAGCTATGAAGCTTCCCTACATCAAATTTCAATAATCCTGATGCAACATTTTATATTTTACTGTCTTTTCTTTTTTATTGCTTGGTCTTCCAGCTCAAATAAGAGCTATAAATAATCATGAATCCCACTTTTAATATTCAGGGTTTTTTCATGTATAAAGTAAATGCTTCATAAGTTAGCTTGTCTATCCCAGAGACTTAAAACATGGAACTGACTGCATTCCTTTTACTGTTACCCCTGCTTCCCAAATTCCTAGTCTGCATTAGTTTCAGTCCTAAAGAAACAGGTGTATGTGGCTAACTATATAAATTATGCCATTTATTCTCATGAAATATAAATACCAGGTAATTCTAAATGTTCCGCTTTCAGTGTACACACACTGGTATATGTACGTATTCTCTGAGGACAAACCACAAGAAAACTTTTCAAAGTTTGACTGTCATTATCTTTGAACACAGGAATTATTTATTCATTGAATTATTTTATTAAGAAACATCTGTTAGATGTATACTATGTTTCTGACACTGTTTGAGTCATGAACAAGTAAAGAAAATAAAAAAAAAATCAAGTTGTTTACAAGTTTAAATCTAGTGGAGACTGAAAAAAATAAAATGAACTAGTTGTATCAAAAAGCCTTGAACACATCCCACCGGAAACCATTTCACCAGAAACTGAACTTGTCCTTAATCACCCTTAACCACTGGAACATTTGGCCTGATGAAAGGGAGAGAACCTGGCTTGTCAGCAATTACCTCCACAATGACAGGGAAGATGACAAAAGACAATATCTGGGGTAGGTTTCAGGATGTTGTACATTTCACTCTTTCTAACCACCTATAAGCTTAACACTATCAAACTATATGTAGGGTTGTAGACATCCCTCACTCTTGACACGGGAACAAGCTGAAATCTGTAGGAAATGAAGGCTTTTCCCACAGATAACAGCAAGAAAAGTTTAAATTTCATATTTTAGACAATGAAGTGTCAGACTAAGAGTAGTACATATACTTTATTAGCCGGACTTATAACCTCTCCCTTAAAATAATAAAGGGAATGAGGAATGTTTTACCTTGGGTAAAAATGAGAGGGGGAAAGTACTCACTTCCATTTTGGTGTCTTCTTTAGATCTAGTATTGCTTGGTGCAGTTTTCTGGGTAAAATTTGACTCTACACAGGAATAATTGGCAGCATATGTCACCCTTGGGTTGTATTTGAAGACCAAATGTTCCCCTTCATCTGAATATTTCACTGGTTGGATGAGGTATCTTTGGTCACGTACTCTGAAGAAACCACTGCAGAGATTGAGAATACAAAGTGTATTCAAGATCTTTAATTACTTTATTCCATTTTATTGACTTTGTCAAGTCAGGGAACCTATAGGGTCAAGGCCTCAAAAGCACGTAGTTGGGTGCTCTGTGTGGTAAAGAAACGAGATGGTAGGCCCAGGTGTTGGCTTAATAGTCTTGCAACTGGACCCAAATGGGAAATATAATTTGCCTCCTGGGACCTTCCTGAGCATGCCAGGCACATGCATGTGATTACCTGTATCCCATGCTGACTGCAGGTAGATTGCAATATGAGGACCCTATCGGGGTGTCTCTCTCTTCCATGAAAGAAAGAAATAAAATGAAAAGAAATAATTTCAGGTGGCTTTTGTTTGAATTAATGACTTTTCCTGAAAATCAGTTTGCCTGGATTTTTAGAAGTCTGGCAGTCCAATATGTTTTGAATGTTGGAACTATAGAATAGCAGTTTCCACTTGTGGTTGTGAACTAATTGAAAGTCTTAGAGTTTTTGCAAAATGTTTGTGAATTACCTTACTCTTTAACTTTCTAGAGACTGAAGTACAGCCTGATTTTTTTTTTTTTAATTTTGGAGAGGTTTCTGCTATAGGGCGCATGTGCTTGCCAGACAGACAGAGAGAGACAGAGAGACAGAAAGCAAGAAATCACCCCCCAGGGGAGATGGCCACATCGCAATCTCTTCTCCTTCGTTCTCCTCTTGGGATCTTGGGCACGCACGCACACGCGCCCGACATGAGTTTTAAGCCACCGGGTCCAGGACACGAACCATGGTCGACTACATGGGAGTCCAGCGACATAGCCATTACGCTAACTGTTGGTCCCGAAATACAGCCTGATTTTAATATAAAGCTAAACTAGCGAAGCTTTGTAGTCTAGTGGGAATTCATAGAAGAACTATCAGTCAAGATACATGGATTTGGCACTCAGTTCGATGATTAGCAAATTGAACGCTCAGGAGACTGAGTCTCTGAATTCAGTATCCTGATAGAATGAAAGAAGAGGCAAAACAATTCTCGGTAATCCCAAATCGGAATTCCTTGATAATATAATGCAAAACTCATCTTGCTTAGAGCTGTGCATTAGACATCTTTTTGTCAAATCTGAACACCAATTATAGGCTGGAGCTGATACGACTGAAAACCCATGAGTGTAAGTAGCTTTTTCCCTATCAATTTTTATATTTACCAGGGTTAGTAAAATGAAATATGAAGCGAATTCTTGACAATCCATAGGAAAACTCATACAGACTCTACATTACCTGAGGCCATTACACGTGCTGATACTGGCAGCAGAATCAAATTCATGTATAATGGATCCTTGGTAAAAACAGTGATCCTAAAATAGAAGAAGAGTTTATTCATATAAGGACAAGTATTTATAATATATGAATAATCCTAATATCTATTGGGTTGTCAGAAAAGTCGTCATGTGTTTTTTCTATGCAAAAATGTATCATGACTTTTCTGACAACTTAATATATATTTTTCTGATCAGAATACACTAGTCTTGACTTTTCTGACAACCTAATATATATTTTTCTGTTCAGAATACACTAGTCTTTAATTCTAAGTTACGCTTACATTTGTTAATACATTTATTCCTTACATTTCTTCTTTAGAAGATTTGAGCTTAAAGATCTTTCACCTTAATTGTATGATTACTTCATGTAAAGCAACCTATAAATTCTCTCACAAATATAAGCAATGACACCAGTTTCAAAGCTGTGATTCTTTTCCTAAGGGAAAAAAAAAAAAGGTTTTTAAGGTTTTTCCCATAGGGTACGTGAGCTTGTAAGAAAGAGAGAGAAAGACAGAAAGAAGAAAAGTGAGAAATCATCCCCCGGGGAAGATGGCCATGCTCCAATCTCTTGTCCTCTTTTCTCCTCCTGGGATTTTGGCTATGCACGCACACACTCCTGGTGTGACTTTCAAATTGCCAGGTCTTGAACTGGGGTTGGCCATCTGGGAGTCCAGTACTTAACCACTATACCACCTACTGGCCTTTCCTATGGAATTTTGTTACTCCTTTATCCTAAAATCATTACCCAACTGACCATCCTGTTTACTTTTAAATTTGTCTCAGTTGCCTATGAAGTCAAGCCATGGTCTTGATGATCACTACCATTAGGTCTCCTGGCCCAGTGAGCTTCCCTCATACCTTTCTCTTGCCTCTACATCCACTCAAATTAATATCTTTATTACTTCCTCTTTTTTTTGGTTTACCTATAGTAATTTTATTCCCCATTTCCATCTGATCAATGCTTACTTATGGGTGCAATGGGCCTACATAGACCTCAACTATTTCATAAGCCAATAACCAACCACTGTAAAAAATGTTACCCAATTTTCCTCCTATACTAGTTTAAGAATGTATGATGATGAAGATACTTAATTTGAGGGAATAGGTTTTAGAAGATATACTTTTAGTAAGAGAATATTGTTCTCAGGACCAGCAGTTAGCGTAATGGCTATGTTGCTGGACTCCCATGTAGTCGACTTCAGTTTGAGTCCCGGACCCAGTGGCTTAAACTCATGCTGGGTGCGTGTGTGTGTGCATGCCCAAGATCCCAAGAGGAGAATGGAATAGAAGGGATTGTGGTGTGGCCATCCCCCCTGGGGGGTGATTTCTCGCTTTCTGTCTCTCTGTCTCTCTCTGTCTTTCTGGCAAGCGCATGCACCCTATAGCACAACTCTCTCCAAAAAAAGAAGAAGAAAAAAAGTGAATATTGTTCTTCTTTAGAAGGTTGCTGAGGAAATATTCTGAAAAAGGGGGATTAGGATATAAAAATGGAGTCTGTGCAATGTTAATCTAAAATAATATTGATGATAAATGAACAGAGATTCATTTGGAAAATGACTTCAACAAGGATACATTATGACTGGGCAAGGGTCACATAAAAGTCAATTTGATAGAGATTTCAAAGTTGTCTAGATTTTCTCTACTTGGGTCAGCAGGTGGCATGGAGTTTAAGGTGGCTGGATCACACATGGCAACAGTGTGGTTTGAGTCCCAGACCCAGAAGCTTGAGGAACACTCTAGGAGGAGTATGTGCCTGGCCTAAAGCCTGAATAGAGAGCAGAGGAGAGTATGTGCCAGCCCCCCACCCCAGGAGGTGACTTCTCACTTTTCCTGCCCTCCTAGAAAGCACACGCTCCTTATGGCAAAATCAAAAAATGGGGACCAGCAGTTAGTGTAATGGCTATGTCGCTGGACTCCCACGTAGTCGACCATGGTTCGAACGTGTCCTGGACCCAGTGGCTTAAAACTCACCCCAGGAACGTGTGCATGTGTGCCCAAGATCCCGAGAGGAGAATAGAGGAGAAAGGATTGTGGTGTGACCATGCCCCCTGGGGGGGGGTGATTTCTCGCTTTCTGTCTTTCTGTCTCTGTCTGTCTAGTGAGTGCACGTGCCCTATAGCGAAAATCTTTCACAAAAAAAAAAAGATTATATATATGTATTTTTTTGATGCCCTAATTTACCCTCCTAGACTCAACATGGTATATGGACACACAGAAGTTAGTTTACTGAAGACTGACATATTAGCAGTCACTGATTTGTTTGGTAAGATGTGATTAGCTATTTTAAGGTTCAGAGGGACATAATTTCAATTCTAGTATTATTCAGTGAGAAGATTCAAGATTGATTTCTGATGTAGCAGTTTCTGGAGCAGCTTATAAAGCTAGGATTGGATCTCAAAAGCACATCAGGAAGTAAGAGTTTTAGAAAAGAGACATAGGAAGGTTCTGTAAGATACCATGATCTGTGGGTGCCTGGTGATCACATCTCCTCTTGTGGAGTAGTATGTTTCACTGTAATTGGAGGCTAGGAACTCCCTAAAAAATGAAGTAGAGAGATAATGAGATCTGTCCATTCTAAAAATCTAACAGATATAACCAAGCATGTCTAGAGAACTCTCCAGGATGCTTTCAAATCTCAGCAAAAGCATCTCTTACTAAAAATAGAAAAGAAAAATCAAGCCCACTCATAAAATGCTATTCTACCTAAATTTAATAGCTTTTTTTAAAGACTATTGAAAAGCTGGAAAAAGATTCTGGCAAAGACTTTAGCAAAGCAGAATTTTTTTTAACTCAGAAATTAGTGTTATCTAAGTAAAAATCTATATACAATACAAAAATTATGTGATGTGGGCCAACAGGTGGCATGGTGGTTAAGGCACTGGAATTCCCACCATGGCTGACCATGGTTTGAGACCTGGACCTGGTGGCTTGCTTTCTCACTTTCTCTCTCTCTCTCTGTCTTTCTCTGGTAAAACTCGTGAAAAAATAAATAAATAAAATAATTCTTTTAAAAAATTACGTCATATTTATGGTATGTCTAACATACAGCAGCTCACAGTCATATATTTAGACAAAAGCAACATATATTGATTATAATACTTTTAGAACATATAGGATAGTACAAAGGGAATTATCGTGGCTCTCACCATCAAGATAACCATGACTGGGGCCGGAAGGTGGCATAGTGGTTTAGGCGCTGGACTACCACATAGCCAACTGAGGTTCATGTCCAGGACATGCTGGCTTAAAACTCATGCTAAGCATGTGTCTGTGCATGCCCAAAATCCAAGGAGGAGAATGGAGAAGAAGTTGTGGCATGGCCGTTCTCTCTAGGGAGTGATTTCTCCCTTTCCCTCTCACTGTCTCTCTCCAGCAAGCATATGCACCCTATGGTAAAAAAAACCTTTAAAAAAATGATAACCATCACAGCTAATATTTTTAATGTAATATTACTTTATGGTGTATTCTCTGCACAAGTAAAGGAGTGACATTCAATTGTAGGCCATCAGTGGTTATCCTATACATTCCATTGTATCAAGCCAAAAGCAGTTAGTGGTGTGCATTTAAATGTTTCAGGAAATGGATGCCACAGCAGAAATGAAGATCAAGAAAGGAAATTACCAGATTTTATTTTACCCTAAAAAATAAACTTTTGAAACTCACAACAGATAAACTAGTCAAAAGTCAAGGCTTTTAAAATGCAACAACTGAGTTTTACGAGTTTCCAAAGTTTGTCAATAATGTTCTCAAGAAAGTCGTCTACAAATAGTCTGACAAAGGTGAAAAGAGAGGTTAGACTATTCCATTGCCAGGATAGATGATGGCATTTCTCCTAACCCTGCGAACTTTCTGCTCAGTGATGCACTGCAAGTTGCAAGCAGATATAATCTTAGTTCATTGTTCTTATTCATGCTGCCATTTCTTGGGTACAAAAGTTCCTAGCTAGTCTACCTTATTTTTTTGCTCTTAGTCTTCTCCAGAGTTTTTAATTATATTAAGGGCAGGAATTGGAAAAAATATATCTGTTCCATCTTTTTGGAAGTGGAAATCCTAGAATCTCATACTTTCACAACTCAAATGAATCAACTTTAAGAAATTTGATAGAATATGACATTATATGCATTGTTCCATACTTTAATATTACAATATCATTATGCCAGGCCAGTACGCAATCACAGTTATATTTCTTCAAATCTCAAAATACTATACTTCACATTTAATCATCACTATATTTTAATTGGTAGTCATCCCATTGGTAGAATTTACTTATTCTAAGAAGTCACCAAGATGGCAACCAGACACTAGTATTTCCATTACATTAAACATTTTGTGTGAGAATTGAAAGATATAATATATAGAGGGAGACAAATGCTTAACTACTATCATAATTTTAAACCAATGTGTCATAAAAATTATGTAAATACTAAGTATCGTCTCAGGCAAAAGTAATAGTTCCAAAAATATCTGTTGTACAACATGCTAACTGTACTTAATAACAATGTATTATATACCTGAAAATTGCCAAGACAACAAATTTTAAGTATTCTTTCCACACAAAAATATAAGTGCATGAGGAGATGTGTTTATTGATTAGTTCAGTTTAGCTATTTAACTTCTGGAAGTGTTTCAGAAACCAGTTCAAAACACCATCAGGCAGACTGTGAGATCCTTTCCTTTATGTATGTTTCTTCTAAAGATCTCCTTTTTATTTATCAAATTCGTATCATGTATTAGAGGGATCAGAGAACTTTCTGCAAAGACCAAAGTAACGTATTTTAGGCTGCATGGGTCACAGATGGTCTCTGTCATATGTTCTTTGTTTTATTTGGGCTTTTATTTTGTTTTACATGAAACATTTACACATTTAAAATATCATTCTTAGGCTTAAGGACATACATAAATAGAAAATATGCCCACTTTGGTCCACCAGCTATCATTTGCCTACCCCTAGTGCATTATGTCAATCTTCAAGGTTACCTATGAACTACTCTAAAGAAGGAATTAAAGAAAAATTATTTATGTCTCTCTAGTTCCTAAGACAGTATTTGAAATATTAACAGCATTTAAAAAATAAACACTGAACTAATGTCCAAAATGAACTAAATACAGTTTTGCTCCTGCTATGACTGAATAGACTATCCGACAGAACATCGTGTACATAATAATTCTGGATAACATACAAAAGGCAGCTCTCTGAAGGAACCGGGTGCTGAACAATAAGCCAACAGATGTCATCTGAGGGACGTCAACACGTGGGAGAAGGTGCAGCATCAGAAGAACTTACTATTTTTACAGCTTTTGCCTGAGGTCAGCCTGAACTCCCCCTCAGAGAGGATGATTTAAACTCTGCTAGAAAACCATAGTCTTTCTGATTTCAAAAGCCATAGGACAGAATTCAGGGCAACCACAATCACAAGAATGTATGCAGTAATCATAAAAATAAAAGTGAGACAAGAGAATCATTATTATAAACAAACTCAGCCTCAAACTCAGAATTATCCCTAAACCATGGCCTATGAGGGATAGAATAAAAGTAGCTCAGCTATAAATAAAATAAAATTTGAACCCCCACCCAAAACAAAGAGTTTGCCATTTAAGTCCAACAAAGTTAATTTTCTAATAAAATGGGGGTATCAGAACTCTTAAGCAGAACATAGCAGAGTCCAGAGTCCCTTCTATATAATTTTCAAGTTATTCAGTGTGTAATCTAAATTTATACTACCCTATAAAGATATATAAAAATTTGAACTATTGCCGAAAAAGAACAACCAACAGAGACATACCTCAAGTCAATCCAGTGGTTGAAATTATAGATGAAGATTTTAAAAGTTATTATAACTATACTAAACAAAGCAAAAGAAAATATGCATCAAATGAACAAAATGATATGAAACGTCAACAGAAAAACTGAAATTAAATTTAAAAAAATAATTGAAAATATTATTATTAAAAAAATCCTAAATTAAAACTTTCATTTGATGGACTTAGAATGTTAGGTTGTTGGGAAAGTAACGACATATTTTTCCATATTTTTCTATGTAACAATGTGTCATGATGTTCCCAAACATCCAATACAAACAGAATTAATAAAGAAAAGAGGTAGAAAACTTGTTGATAATCAATAGAAATTTTCCAATCTGGAAAAAAAAGAAAATTAAAAAAGAGCAGAGTTTCAGAGGTATGTTAATTATTTCAAAAAGACAAGTGTACCAATAACTGGAGTACTAGAAAGTGGAAACAAGATATGGCAGAAAATATAGAAAAGTAGTAGCCAAACATTAACCCAATTTGGAGAAAAGTGTAAATTATAATTTCAACAAGTTCTGCAAACATCAAACAAGCTGTGTATAAAGAAAGTCATATCCATGTATATTACTGCCAGTTTGCAGAATATCAAAGACAAATATGAACCCTTTAAAAGCCACAAGTGAAAAATAAAATAATATGTACTAGGGAACAGAAATCCAAATGACTGGGCCAGCAGGTTGTATTGTAATTAAGGTGGCAGATTCCCACATGGTTGACCATAGTTGGAGTCCCAGACCTGGAGGTTGAAAAATCATGCCAAGTATATATGCATGCTTACTCCAAATCCCAAAATAGAGTGGAGAAGGGATTGTGGCTGGCCATACCCACTGAGGGGGGATGGATTTCTCAATTTCCCACTCTCTGTCTCTCTTGTCTCTTTCTCTCTTGTTGTCTCTCTCCAGTAAGCACATGTGCCCTATAGCAAAAACCTAAAACAAACAAAATGAAATCCAAGTGACCATAAACATAACATTAAAGCTTATATAGGTAAAGAGAAAAGAACCTCATTGTGTTTTGCTAAAAGAGATTAAAAGGAAAAAAAAAAAAAAAAGAAACTCTGGAGACCAGCAGATGGCAAAATGGTTATGTCGCTGGACTCTCACATGTTTGACCATGATTGGAGTCCTTGACTCAGCAGCGTAAAACTTATGCCAGGCATGTGTGCTGTGTGTGCCCAAAATGTCAAGAGGAGAATTGAGGAGAAGGGATGGCGGCATAGCCATTCCACCTTGGGGGTGATTTCTTGCTTTCTTTCTGTCTCTCTCCATGTCTCTGGTGAGCACACATGCCCTATGGCAAAAGTCTCAGAAACAAAAAAAAAAAAAAAAAAAAAAGAAAGAAAGAAAAAGAAAAAAAAAAACACTATGAACCCCGAATTTCATAGTAAGTGGGGGAAAAAAAAGACTTAAAGATTTAAAACAAAATTAAGAGCTTTTGAGGGCCAGCAGGTGGCATGGTGGTTAAGATGCTGAATCACACATGGCCAGTTTCATGATTGGAGACCAGACAGGGCGGTTTGAGAGATGAGCTTGGCATGTGTGCATGTGTGCCCAAGATCCTCAGAGGAGAATGGAGAGAAGGGATTATAGTGTGGCCATCCCCCCAGGGGGTGATTTCTCATTTTCCTTCTCTCTCTGTCTCTCTCTGGTGAGCACACATGCTCTGTGGAAAAATCTTTCATTTTTTAAATTAAAGCCTTTTTAAAAAAAAAAAAAAACTAGGGTAAATTTTTGCCAGTGGATCTGAACTATTTGTAAAGAAAGTTCTTCAGGCTAAAAGAAATGACAGTAGATTGAAATTGAACCTCTAACAAAGAACGGAGAGATAAGTAATGGTATAGAACCAAATAAATAATATATTGTATTTTCATTGAATTTTATTAAGATATAGAAGAGAATTTGGAGCCAGCAGGTGGCATGGTGGTTAAGGCACTGAACACTCCCACATAGCATACCACAATTTGAGTTTTGGACCTGGTGGCTTGCTTTCTCATTTTCCCTCTTTCTCTTTTTGGTCAAATTAAAAAAAATAAATGAATGAATTGATAACATTAAATAAATAATTCTTAAAAATATGCATATGAGGATTTAAAGCCAGAATTATAACCATTCTTCATAGGGTTAAATATATATACATATATGTGCATATATATGTATATAAACATATATATAATAACTTTGTATAAAGAAGCAGTAGTTGTAAATGGACTTACATGAGGTCTTCAAAAAATTCATGAAAAATGCATATATAAAAAATATGGCTTAAAATTTTTTGCATCAAACAAATCCTACTTTAATTCTATTTTCTCACATTTTGAAGTCACTTCATATATATAGAAATAAAAAAAAATCAGAAAGAAAGAAATAAAACTTCTAATATTTCTAAATAAGACAAAGATTAATTACTGAGAAAATCTCCAAGTAATCTAAAAAATAATCAATAAATAAATTTATTAATGTCTTCCAAATCCAAGGTTAATATTTTATAATTCACTGTATTTTCAGATAGTAGCTGCAAATAAAAAAATGAAATAATATATAGTTCTGTTTCCAAAAGTACCACAAATATGAAATGTTTAGAAATAAGTTTAAGAAAGGACATGTGGGGGCCAGCAGGTTGAGGTATAGAACTCCCACATGACCAACTGCAATTCAGGCCCCAGACCTGGAAACTTGCTTTCTCACTTTCTCACTTTCTCTCTCTCTCACTCTCTCTCATCAAATTAAAATAATCATAGTAATAAATACAATTAAATAGACTAATTATTAAGAAAAAAAGAAGGCATGTGAGAACTCTATAGTTTAACTATAAAAATGTTGTTGATAGAAATTGAAGACTTAACACTTTGTCATAGGAAAGGAAATTTGGGGGGAAATGGAGAGGTATGACACTTGGGGGACACAGATAAAGTTTATTGTCTGTTGATGAGGAGGTGTAGAATAGTCTCAACCGGGCTGGACTGAGGTGGAAATCATGCTGGGTAAAGTCTCTTCACAAACTAAATGATGTCTAGTGATTTAATGTATGAATAATAATACAAAATATACAAATACTTGAAAAAAAAGGAATTGAAGACTTAAATAAATACAGAATTACAGCACGAATACTCAACTTTGTTGAGATATCAGTCTTCTCCAAAGTGATTTATAGATTAATAAAATCTAAACCAAAATGCCAGCAACTTTTTTCCAGAGATCAATAAGGAAATTGTAAATGATATACAGACATAAAAAGAATCTAGAATAATAAAAATAATAATAATAATAATAATAAACCAACAACAGCTGTTCTGAAAGAAAACAAAAATTGAAGGAGTTAGTTAGTCTGGTTTTCAAGACAGTGTGGTCACAGTTTATGAATTAAAAAAATAGATGAATAAGAATTAGAATCCCAGAAATAGTCATTTGATTTTGGTCAAAGATGCCAAAGCAATCTCATAACACAAGAAAAGCAATTCAACAAAACATACTGGCACAATTAGCTAACATAAAGAAAAAGAATCCCAACTTCCAGCAAATTTTACACATACACAGACGTGTATACATGTGCATACACACAAGTTTAAGATAATATATCAAACCCAAAACTAAAACAATAAAGAACTTAGGAGAAAATATAGGAAAACAGCTCAGTGATTTGCAGCTAGTGTTTCTTAGTCAGATAGGAGAAAGTGATGATGCCAAAGAAAAAAGCTAATAAATAATTTTTTTCAAAATTAGAAATTTTACTTTTTAAGGCACATATTTTGAAACTAAATTAAAAATCATAGGTTGAGGGACCAGCAGTTAGCGTAATGGCTATGTCACTGGACTCCCATGCAGTCGACCACAGTTCGAGTCCTGGACCCAGTGGCTTAAAACTAACACAGGGCGCGTGTGTGTGCGTGCCCAAGATCCCGAGAGGAGAATGGAGGAGAAGGGATTGTGGCGTGGCCATCCCCCCTGGGGGGTGATTTCTCGCTTTCTGTCTCTCTGTCTCTCTCTGTCTGTCTGGCGAGCACACACGCCATATAGCAAAAACTTCTCAAAAAAAAAATCATAGGTTGAAAGAAAACACTAACAACAAATATGTATATCTATATATATATACATATATATATTTAACAATCAACATATATATATATATACTTAACAATGGGCTGGTCTCCAAGTTATATGAAGATCTCCAACTAAATAATAACAGGACAAATAAGCCAATAAAAAAGGATAAATGTTTAAACAGACATGAGAAGATAAGTACATGGACAAAAACGTACAGGAAAAATGTTTTGGCCTAACTGTAGAGACATAGGCATAACATTCACTCTACAATGTTGTAATCACACAGCTGATCAGGGTTGGGATCCTCAGTTTGAAACATGTCAATATGCTAATGATAGTAAATTCATTGTATTTCTTCATGTTTGTCCAGTGGGAGATTCAAAGTGGCCAGAGAGTTTCTGTTTGTTTTTAGCTCACAGTCCAGAGTCTCAGTTTTCCAATAGTGTCACACTTTTATTTTGCTTAGCATTTGATAACTCCTCATGCTTTTAATGTTTGGGGCTCTGAGGAAGAGCTATTGTGTGTAGAATTAGCATGAAGGAAAATAATGGAAATAAAGGAACAGCAACAATAGATTGTTTTGAAAATAGCTAGTGAATGTTAAGAGCATTAGAATTATTTAGCAACAGAATGTCTTGAGGAAGCAAATTCTGCTTAATTCTTACTCCAGCAGAACTTGATTTGACATCTATTTCAAGTAACTTAGAAATCATTTTAAAATGCAGGTTTTCAAATTTCTTTTGTTCTGGGACCAGCAGATGGTGTAATGGTTATGTCACTAGACTCTCACATGGCTGACTACAGTTCAAGTGTCAGACCCGATGGCTTGAAACTCACACCAGGCTTATGTGCTTGCATGTCCAAACTCCTGACAGGAGAATGGAGGAGAAGGGATTGTGGTGTGATCATCCTCCTGGGGGAGATTTCTCATTTTCTGTCTCTGTCTCTGGTGAGCACATGTGCCCTTTAGCAAAAAATCTCTCTAGAAGAAAAATTCCTTCTGTTCTAGTGATTCGAAAAGCAGTAATATATAAATCCTCTTCTAATGGAGTTCAAAAAACTCCAACTACCCAAATAAGGAAGTAATTTCAAAACTGTACAACAATATCCACAACTGCCTTAAGCTGTTCAGATGCAATGGGCTTATAACTGGAGGAAGAGTTTGGATTATGTACAGATCAAAATGACTTGAGGAATTCACTTCATTTCCATTTTCTGCAAAAACTGGAATATTACACACTAGAAAATCCATAAGGTATTGCTAGAATAGAACTTACCTTGTTCTTAGAAGATGAAGTATTAAGATTTTTCTATTTAGTTTTAGTTCATACAATACTTCTTCTTCATAAGCTTCCTGAAAAACAAGACTCAGTGAAACTTGAATACATGTACTCATTTAGTGCATGCTGGGGGTAGACAGTGTAGTGGGTGGAGGGGGACGTGACCTATCTCCAGCTGTCTACCCAGCAGTCCTTTCAGGCAAAATGATAAATACTGATAAAGTTGGATTTACACAGAGCTAATGTTATGAAAAAAATTTTACTCGAGTTTTATTATTATTTATATTAGGCCAAGCCTGGTGGCACAGTGGACGAAAAACTGAACTGCAATGCTGGAAGTCACATGGCCAACTGTGGGTTTGGATCCCTGGATTGGCTTGAAATTATGCTGGGTATGCACCTATGCCCAGGTTCCTGATCAACTGAAAGACCAGAGAAAGGGGATTGTGATGTGGCCAGACCTTGTGGAGGGTGCTTCTCTGTCTCTCTTTATTCAAGATAGAGGGCATGTGAACACAAAGAGACCTCAATAGGGTCTAGTTACACTGCAATCCCCTTTCCCAAGCCTTCTAGCTTGTCAGGATCTTGGTCATGGGTTGTGTTTCAGGCCTACTAGGCTGGAGATCTGAAACCATGGTCAGCCATGTGGCTTCCAAAACAATTGTGCTACTGACTGGGCCACAGGCTGGGCCTCAAGTAATTTTTAATTAAAGTTTTTAAAAGGCTCTTTTTTTCCTAATCATAAAATATAAAGTGCATATTGTCTCCTCATGCTGATGTTCACAAGTTACTACATGTGTTTTTACTCTCCTGTGGTATTTTATTTCTTTATGATTTATAAGATTTCTTTATAATTTAAAGGTCACAATTTGTTGGTCATATATATTGTATATTTCTTTAATTTTATTGTTCACTCATTTATTCAAGTGCTGTTATTTCAGCACAGTGATAAAATGAAAAATACAATGATATATAAGGTGGAGATCCCTGCCCTCCTACAAGCCCTCCAGCTTGGCAAAGGGGAGAGCTGATAATTAAGCATATGTAATTGAGTGTGGTAAGTATCATAACAAGAGAAATGCAAGAACTATGCCAGACATATTGGTAGGAGACAGAGCAGGAAAAAGCCTATGCAAAGGAACTGAGGTAGAAAGGAGCTTGATATGTAGGTGGAACAGAAGAAAATTCAATGCTGTGAGTAGAAGTGAGATGAAGATATGAGAGTTAACTTATGCACAGTCTACACAGTTGAGAAAATTAAGGGTTTGGACCTTATCGTGTCAACAGTTCACACTATCAGCTTGTCTTCTCATTGTCATGCTTGTCAGAGAGAGACAGAGAGAGACAAAGAAAGTGAGAAAAATCACTCCCCAACTACAACCCCACCCCTCCATTCTCCTCTCAGAGATTTTGGGCATGCATACATATCCAGCATGATTTTCTAGCCTGTTGTCTTAATTTAGTCTTAGTCACCCGAGGAGCCTACTAGCTTCTGCATGGTGAGTGGTAGAAAGCTGGCTCTGTTTCTTCAGCTGAGGGAGCAATCTTCAATAAATGTGAAGGTTTAAGAAGAGAAATATGTTGGATGGCTTGGCTGCAGTGGTGAAGGGCATGGACACACTGCTGGAGCTGTATGGGAAGACTCTGGGTTCGCATCCTTGGTCTATCTGAACAAACAAGGCATGGCTGAGATTCTGGCTAAATGCAGGACTTGGGAGAGGAACCTGTCATTAAATCCTGCTGAGAGTGTCTGTCTCTCACACATAAAGAAAAAAAGAAACTTTAAAAATAGTTGGAGAGAAAGAGAAAAAATATTTATAAAGCGAGTTCTTGGAAAAAAATAATTAAAACCTTTTTCTAAATAGGAGAGATGGACAGTTGCTTTTTTATCATCTTAAGCCTCTGGAAAAGAGGTCTCAATGGGATTACCTTGAAAGTTGAAATGTGTCTTACTTATGATTGAGAAACCTAACAAGTGAAAACCTAGAAAACTGGTTGTTCTAATGGTGGACAGAGGAAAAGCTGTTGCATTGGGAAAAGTTTGCATTCTGTAGTGTGTTGAGACATGTCTATCAGTATCCCCCAGGGGCCATATTAAAAGCCTAAATCTTGAAATGCAAGGGCCTAAGAAGTATCTAAGGACATTTCTTTCAAGTCTTTCATAACTGTGGGAATTGAAAATAACTTCATTTTTAAGTGTGTTCCCTCTAACATATATTATATAGAATTTATACTACAACAAACCATTTTATACACTCAACATTCATTATGTTCATTACTTCTGAAAATAATATTTTAAATATTTTAAAATTTTAACACCTGAATAAATAACAAGTCTGGCAGGTCTTTCTGTTCCTATGAAAGTTGTCCAAGTTCACTATAAAACCTGTAAAGCAAATAAACCTGCAGATCAGATTTCTGGGAAAGCAGAATGCTTGCGACTACATTGTAGGGCCACCGGCTCAGAACAAATGAGGTTCTTTTTAAATCAGCCTGGAATGCTGTAGGTGGCACTCACATAAGCTGGAAAATTTAAAATAGTACTCCCCTAAAATCTGGAGTTCACTCCTTTTTGATTCTTAATCCATCAAGGAGTTGCTTATCCCCAAGTACACGCTGTAAGTTGAACAAGAATCTGAAGGAAACTGAGACAAATTTCTTTCCATATGCATCTGGTTAGAGATGGAGGCAGCTCCCTACATGACTATAAGCCAATAAATTAGAATCAGTACCGGTATGTCATAGTCATGGGGGTGTCCAAGATCTCGCTTCTGTAGCAGAGGAAGCCTTTTAAGATAAGCCAGTTCTTGACCTTCTACTCCCAGGATTGCCTTTTCTAAAGGGAGACATAGAAGGACAATCCATCTGACATAATATTCATCCACAATAATTAAAAAAATTGAATTCTCAACTTGTCCACTGTGTGGCATATATCATATCGGGTAAAACCTCTTTACAAACTAAATGATGTATAACGATCGAATGTATAAATGACAATAAATAATAATAACAATATTATTGCTCTCATAGAGTTCACATCCTCCCAATTAGCAACTGTGTACCACAACACTATGAATTATCATCCCCAGTTTACAAGTGAGGAAACCGGGACTCACATTTACAAATTAGGAAAATACTAGCAAAACTGGGAAGGAGGCTGAGAATTCTGATTCCTTCAGCTTCTTCAGATGTTTTCACCTGTCTTGCAATTGTCGCCTTATTTTCATGCCAGTCTCTGAATTCTGCCTCTCATCACAGCCTGTAACCCCAATGGCCTATTTCAATGTAAATTATTACTGAATTTCATCTTCCAGGGATATCTGCAATTAAAGTCAACTATAACTACTAGCTAAGTAGAAATCTTTTACTTCGTAAGGAGCTTTAGGTCAGTGCCAACATCATCTTTTGGTTTTCTATCACAATGGTAAACATCTAGCAGGTGAATTCTGCTTAAATAAGGTGTGGTTCTTAAAAAGCAATAAAGAGCAGAAGATGTGGACTTTTTGAAATATGCTTTGATTGGAGTCAAATTGTATGAGTTTATTAGCTATGTGACTATAAGTGGCATGTCTAATTTCTCTGATTTGTAAATATTAGTTTCATTTTCCTTATCTGTAAAGTAGAATTACTTTAATATCTGATTTTAAACATTCAAACCTACAAAATGGCTAATAGCTAGCCCAGCGCTTGCCATGTGGTTCATCTTCAGAAGTTGACCATTTCTTCATCCTTCTTAGTGTGTGTTAGAGTGTTTAGGAATGATATGACATTTTATAAAAGCATAGAATCTCATGATTAGTCAAAACCTGGTCCAAGCTCTATGCTGCATTGTCAGCAAAATCCCTAAATGCATACTTAATGTTCTTTATCATTTGCAATTTAAAGTTTGTGACTAAAGAGACATTACCTCATTGCATAATATGAAAACCTTGATAAAGGGTAAGACATACCTTTAACCTGAGAAATGAGTAAAAGCGTCAGACATATAACCCCAGGAAGCATTCTGAATGATTCTGGAAGAAGGGCTCATGTGCTTGAGAAAAGATTTGCACTGTACGTCGTCCTTGCTCCCACGGCAAGGATGAAGAGCTTCAGAGATAGAGAGGCAGTTTTGATCCAGCACAAGGAAGTGCTCCTTGATCAAGTTACACAACTCGTTAGGTCCTTAAGGCTAAAATCTGGAGGTGGACGTCATGTGCTAATGGAAAGGTAGCCAGTCAGGTGGTGGTGGAGTACGCTGGGCATAGATGCCATTTCATGATGAATATACATGATTCCAGGTGCATTAAGAAGTCAAATGTGAAGAGCGACCATGACTTTTGTTGACAGAAAATAACCAACTCTAAAAAATTAATCATTAATGTGGTTTATTTTTAAGCAGAATATGAGTGACTTAGGCCAGAAGAGAGGGCAAAACATGTCTTTTCCTTTCTCGGGGTAATCAGGTCCTGGAGAAGGGGGCAAAACATGTCTTTTTTTTTTTTTTCAGGGTAATCAGGTACAGGCTTTTTATAAATCTGATTTTGAGAGTGAGAGACAGAATTTGGAATTTAGTGAAAAGATTTTTATTGGTCTAGCCCAAAAAGGCAGGACATGTGGCAGCAGGGGCTTACAGGTGGGTTTTACAGTTTTTAGGGGGGTGATTGGAAAAGGAAGGTTGTTGGGATCAGAGAGGAAAGTACTTTAACAGTGATAAGGAGTCTTAATATACATCACAAAGATACTTTAATACAATATCAAGGGCAGGATGTAGGAAGAATCTTGTATTAATGGGTCGAAATGATCTGTCAACATCTGTGGGTATGACTCTCCCTAGGCCCTCTGGAAAAGACATTGGGAAAAATAGGAAAAAGCAGTCAGACTTTTCTGTCCACAGTCAATATCTGTGGGCATGACTCCCCCTAGGCCCTCTAGAAAAGACCTTTGGAGGGAAAAAAAAGTCAGACTTCTGTCCACACTGTATTAGAAAAAATTATTGAAGGATGTGTATATCTATTTTGGCTGAAAGCAAAGTTCTTGCTATGCAGAAAATCACATGTAGATAGTTTAAAGAAAATAAGCTAAAATAAATAAGATAGAAATATTGAAAATGCATGCATTTTATAAATTGCATATTAATTAAAATACAAACAAAATTTCCAGAAATGTATGCAATATGTACATAACTGAAGGTGGAAGTTAGCATGTTTATAATATAGTGCTCTTCCAACTCAATCCAACAAAGAAAGCTGATAGAAAAATGTGCAAATGATTTAGGCAAATCTATCTCTATGTCCATGTTTTTTACTATGTTAAAGGAGATATCCCACTGCCCGCACAATCTCTTCATGTATGTTTGAGAGTCTATCCCTTCCCCATCTCGCATTACCATGATCTCTCTAATATTCCCACAAGCTGAACCAATCTGCGTTGTCTGGAAGTATCCTTTAGATATTCAGATAACCTCATGTCTCTCCCTTTTAAAAATTCCTACCCTGGGGACCAGCAGTTAGCATAATGGCTATATTGCTGGACTCCCACGTAGTCGACCGCGGTTCAAGTCCTGGACCCAATGGCTTAAATTCATGCCAGCGTGTGTGCGTGTATGCCCAAGATCCCGAGAGGAGAATGGAGGAGAAGGGATTGCGGTGTGGCCATCCCCCCTGGGGAGTGATTTCTTACTTTCTATCTCTCTGTATCTCTCTGTCTTTCGAGCATACGCACCCTATAGCAAAAACCTCCCCCCCAAAAAACCCAAAAAATACCCACCCTCCATTCTGTATCCCTCATGCTCTTACTACCATCTTCTTCATTCCCCTTTCAGTTTAACTTCTTAGTTAATCTGAACATCTTAGGCAATTTTCTCATCTCCAACTCATCCTAACACATTCTAGTTCTGGCATTTGACTTTATTATTCTACTGGCATAGCGGATTAATATCTTTAATGTTTTCATCATATCTAAATCCAATCAATATTTTGGTTCTTCATTTGTCCTCTCAAAAACATTTGACACTCTCTACCATATTCTCCTTCTTGAAATATTCTATTAGGTCGTTGGGAAAGTCATGAGTAGTTTCTTACGTTTTTCTATGCAAAAATGCATCATAACTTTACCAACAACCTAATACTTAGTTTCTTCAACACAGCAGTCTTCTTAACATCTTCACAGCACTCTGACACAACTTATAAGCGATCCTCTTTCACCCAGTTTTAAATTTTCGAGTTCTTCAGGTATTATCCTCCACTCTCTTTTCCTCTAGCTATGCTTATTCTAAAGCCATCTCATGGTCAGTTATGGTTTAATTATCTCTATGCCATGCCTCACATTTTTGGCATAATTGGACACTATGCCTCACAGTTCGCTCCAGCAATCTGTGCAATAGATCTTTATAGCCAGCTACCCAATGTCTTCCGTAGGAGAACGCAAAGCCCCAGCAAACTCAACAGGCACAAGATGTAAAGTACATTTACCCCTCACCTTGTCCTCTGTCTAAGGTCCTGACTTCATCGTCCATTAACATTGCAGTTCTGAAAATCAGCACCATCATTGATATCCCTCCTAATCTATCAGTCACTAAGTGTTTATTTTACAGTCTCAAAATAGCCCATCAACTCCTCTTCAGATTTTTTGCCTAGATTTTAGGCCAAACTATTGTAAACTCCCTTTGGCCACACTCTAACAACTGTAATCTTTTTCAAAATGTAAAACTGATCGTGTCATATATATGTTAATGATGCTTCATTTGTGTTAAGAGAAAGCCTCACTTGAATTTAAAATCCTGAAGGGTAAATTGCTCACCTACTAATTCTGGCTTTGGCAAGGTATAAAACATTCCTGTATTTCTGTTTTCTCACCTATAAAGGAGTATAATATCTATTTCATGAGAATGATGTTTTAAAAATGGATCTGTGCTAACAAGCAATCTTTTTTTCTCTCATTTATTCTCCCTTCAATTCTCAGTTGACTTTTATACACTATTTATTCTTAGCTCAAATCTCTACACCTCTTCTTTCTTATTTTCATCAGTTCTCCTTGATTTCTACTGGGTTGCTGGAAAAGTCATAGCATATTTTTTTCTATGCAAAGATGCATCATAGCTTTTCCGATAGCCCAATATTTTATTGGGGAAAAAGGGAACCACCAAAAGAACTTTCTCTTTAATCTATTATCACATCTACCTTGCTATCAACATGTGTGTCATACTGTCTAGTTCCTTTCTGTTTTTACAGCTGAACTGTTTCTATAGGCTCTATCTACCACTAATATGTTGGAAACAATTTCTTCTCCTCAGTATCATCACACCTGCAATTATTTCTTGTGTCTACTGTAACAAAAATGTATGATTGTTCTCATTCTTTAAAAAAAATTTCTTCTTTCATATCACTCTCCTCTACCCATTCACTACCCATTTTTTATTTCCTTAAAAGTAAAATTTCCTGAAGGAAAAGTATACAGTGTGTCTTCAGTTATTCTCTTCCCATTAGCTCTTGGAATTGCAACTTTCAGACTTTTTATCTTTTACTCAACAGTTCTTGTCCATGTTATCGATGATCTGAATCTTGCTAAATTCAGTGGTCTATTCTCAGTCTTCATTCACTTGACCTTTTAGCAGTATTTGACAGAGTTGATCATTTCTATCTCTTGAAAAGAGTTTAGCTCATGGTTCACCATGGATCTCCTCCATGCCTATTGACCACTTCTTCTTAGTTTCTTTTGTTGGATCCTTCATCTCTTCCTGGTATCTAAATGCTCCAGGCTCATGAGGCTCAGTTCTTGAAACCTTGTTCTTCTTTACATATGAACATTAGTGAGGTGGTCCTCATACACTCTTTTAGCTTTAAATATCAACTATAAAATAATAGTTGCAAAATTTAATTAGCTGACCTGATCTCTGAATTTCAGACTCACTGATACAATGCACTTTTCAGTATCTTCACGTAAATATCTAACAGATACCTCAAACACAAGTACAAGGCCAGGTTATTGCTTTTCCTCCTCTAAGCCTGGTGTTCCCAGTCTTTCCTTAAAATATTGCAACTCCATCTTTTCAGTTACTCAGGAGTCATTCTTGATTTCTCTCTTATCCCTATACTTTGTATTGCACCCATCAGCAAATCTATTTGGCTCTATCTTGGAAAGACATCAAGGATCTGATCATCTCTCATCATATTTACTGTGCTGGTCCAAGACTTCATCATCTCTAGCCTCATGTATTGAAGTAGCCTCTTAACTGGATTCTTACTGTTTATCATTTGGTCCCTCCTATTGTATTATCTACACATCATCCAGCTTGGTCTTATTAACATTCATCCCATAATATAATTAGGTAATATGTCCAAACTTTTCTATGGCTTCTCATTTCAGAATATTAGCCAAAGTTCTGGGGTAGCCTCTGGGATGTGTATGACCTAGCTTGATATTCTCTGGCTTTCTGTCTTACTACATTGTCCTCTTCACGGATTCTGAGTCTCTTGCTATGGGTCCTTGATATTTATTGAGCATGCTAAGCATGTTCTGCTTCCAGGGTTTTTACTTGCTGTTCTTTCTGCCTGGGATGTTTTCCTCTCAGAGAGTCACATTCTCACCTCTTCTCTCCCTTCAGGACTTTATTCAAAATACCACATGTCAGTAAGGTCTTCTCTAAGTGACCTGTGCAAAATAGACCAATCTGCTTCTGCCCTGACACATATAAGCCCTTATTACCTTTGTTCAAGAAAAAAACCTTAGACAAATTTAACAGAGTTTAATTTAGCAAAGAACAATTTGCAGATTGGGCTGCTCTGAGAACTGGTTCTGAGGAGCTCAGGGTTGCCACATGGCCAAATAACATTATGGACAAGAAAGCAAAGTGATGTACACAAACAGAAATGAGGGAAGTGAGGTACAGAAACAGCTTGATTGGTTAGAGCTGGGCACTTGCCTTCTTGAACTGTTTAAACAGTAGCTGTCCCTGACGAACTAGAGCAGGGCTGCTGTGATTAGCTGTGACTCAGCTATTTGTTATATAAATGGATTCCTGATTTAGGTTGTAGTTTGCTTACTAGAACTCAAGTCCATGAGTATGAAGGCCTTCACAAGCCAGTGTAGTTTGGTTTAACACCTTGCATTAGCCAACATCTGAAACTATGTATTCGTTTATGTTCAGATTGCTAGTCTCTAAAAATGTAAGCTCAGTGTAG